CGTCGAGGGCGAACGTACACGGACAGGAAGAAGGGACGAAAAAAAAAACATACACATACACGGCGATCGTGTCGTGAGTTCTGAATGAGCCAGAGGCTTTGTAGGTCCCCGAGGCGGTGTACGAACTATGAATGAACGAGTGAATGAATACAACCTGCGCCAACAACCATCAACCCCCCGTCACCCTTTTCCCTTCGCCGATCGTTTCATCCCTCTACGACCCTACTCGCCGGATTCTTCATCCCTCTACTGGAACGTTTGTTCCGCGGCCTTGTACGATCGTCCACAAGCCTCTCATTATGACATATGCTCGTGCTTCCACCTCGCCGCACTCCGAAAAACGATGTTTCCGATGGTCTTTCTATTCTTCGCTTTGGCTTTTACGAGCTGGATGACGGTTTAATTAAGTCAGCCCTGAATGTGGATTATCATAGTTTTGCTCGTAGATAGATAGCATAGCAGTTGGTCGTTCGATCACAACTCTGGAGGACCTTGTGAAACTCTGGTAATTACGTATTCGATGCAGAAGGAAACCACTTGGAAAGCGATCGTTAGCTAGTTACGTGCGATATATTAATTCTTATGTATTCACTCTCTTCTAACAGAGTACAATTTTAGGTTCTACACGTTCCTCGCATCTTCTTGCAAACGAAATAAAAGGATCCTCAACCCTTGAACCTTACGAAATTCTTTCCGATACTTTGATTAAAAGCCTCGACAAATTCCTCGCTGTTCAAGCTCACCATTTCCGCTCCACCACGCTATTCAGCTCGTTGCAACGACATCTAATACTTAAATATCGAGCATCCCCTTCGATCTACCCTCGACGTACCATATCGATCTCTCTCTCTCGAGGTATACAATGGCACACGTGCGGCTATAGTTCAGATATGAATAAAAGCAAGAGAAGAATATCGTTGGAGGACAGCGATGAAGGCTTGTGTGGCCGCTAAAATCCGCTCTTTCAGAGGACAACCGATTGGCCAATCAAAATGCCGTGTGGCCAGTCTCGGCTAGTTATCACGCGGTGGTTGCTTAACAAATAATCATTGTACTCGTCGGCACGATTGACTAACCTTTCCATAAACGTAGCGAATGGCGTCACGATGGCCGTACCTTTTTTGGCCCGGGTGTCAGTAAACCGTAGGGAATCGCTTTTGCGCGCACGGGATTCGACACCGTCTATAATTTATGCACGAGCGGCCGCGTGTGCGAGACCACAGTCTCTGTGTCCGTGCACGTGCGACGATCATACGTGACAAACGGAAACGATCGTCGTCCAACACTATCCTCGAAATATTTATCGACGTTCTATCGAATCACGATACGTTGACTCTTCGTGTCGATATATTCGGCCAATTGTAAAGGAATCGGTCTCGAAGGGTTGATATTTCGTTTGATATTCGAGCGGTGTGTTCGAGTTTCGTAAGGTTTGAACCTTGGATGACGGATTGTGCAGGCATTTGGAAAGCTCAGATTGCGGGATTTCGAAATTCCAGGGAGTTTGCAGTATATTTGTAAATTTGTTTTAAAAACGACGAATTCCTCCTTGGTTTGGTAATTGGAATTATTTATTACGAATTTCTGAAGAGCAGCGGAATGGTAAAATCGAGCTGATTGGCACTACGTTAGCATAGTTTCGTTGTCGTTGGAAGAAATTGAACGTTCTAGACCGAAAAATTGATCAAAAAATGATTGAAAGCAACAAGAAGATGCACTGGTCGTTTCATAGAATATTGATCTTTCTTGAATCTCGCTACCTTTTCGAACATTCCATATATCAATTTAATAAAATTTCTAACGTAGAACTTTGAGAAATTTTAATAACGAATTCTTCGTACGTACTGAATTAAGAAGGCTGAATCGAATAAATTAATTTCAATCGAAATTTACTAATCCAAATCTAACCTACATATTATTTCGTCGTAATTATATCTTTAACGAAATCCGTAATGTAACGGTACTTTGGAAATACCGATAGTAGTTCCTTTTTACGTAATAAATTAACATAAGATTCTAAATAATTTGAACAACGAATTATTATCAGTACTTGTAATTAAAGAAGAAAGATGGGAGTAGGCGCGACTGAATTAATTTCAACGAACGATTTCCATGTAAAAACGATAGGAAGATTTCGCAGATTTTTCATCGGGCTTGGCGTACTGTATCGTGATACTCGTGCACAAGTATAGAACGTGTCGTTGCAAGACGACCAACACAGGCGACCGTATAATAGACTCATTATTTCTGCTTGCCGGAGCACTGTTACGTTATGTATCGCGGCTCTTCGAGGTCTCTGGTTCGACTCTCGCTTATCCTCGCTTTCGACCTCCTCCTCTTGGAACCGATGCATTACGTTACTGCTGCACGCGCGTTCTCCAACTTTTCCAACCGACGGATCCTAGGCATAATTTATCCGATTATTCTAACTATTCATTATATCGTTCATTCAATCGCTACGATTCTGGAAAAACAAACAATCCTACGTTCCACTGCTTCGCTGAATCATCCTCGAGGAAGATAATTGCCAACTTCGGTACAAACAGAAGACTTTGAATTCGAAAATCGAGGAATTCTAAAAAGTTTGAAGAATACATGCTACTTCGAACCTTGGAGGAGAGACGAGAACAAGTTCTAAGGCGCGAAACGAAAGAACGCAGCGAAGATTTTTCAAAATTTTTATACTAGAAAAAATAAAAGAAACAAATCGACAGGATGGATATACATTTTTTTTTTACGAATGAAAGACGCGTAGCGATAAATAGCTCGGTCAAATCATACCTAGTTCCGAAACTAGGAAGGGAGTGACCGAGAGGCGCGGAGGAACATCGTGGATTTTTTATTGGACTAAACGCGAGGATGTCGAGAGAGGCAACAGAGCCCGGCGTCGTCTCCATTGTCCGCGGCGAAGCGTGCAGAGGGCCCGACTTTCCCTCGTTCACCCACGGTCACTGCTGCAATGACGTAAGGACCCCGGCTAGGTAATTGTTACCTACGCTACGAACGCTCGCCTCATAATGTTCTCCTCTGTTCCGTTCTATTCGACCCGGCTGCGATTCCCTAACGCGTATCAAACACGCGTGTACTCTTCGTCACTGTGTCACTAGCTTCGCTTCTTCCACAGAACCTACTCAGATTTTATATAGGAAATATCCAACCGATTCTTTACAAACATTTAAAATACGCGTCGAAATTCGTACCTAGGATTCTTCCCAACCGAAAACGATCTTCACAAGCGTGTCGTCCTCGTGCAAGTAGAATTATCCGAATTTGATTACGGTGGATTCCATGGAAGCAAGTTCTATTGGAATGGCGTAAAATAGAATTCGATGGAGCCAAATACCCGACTGTAACGACGTATCAGTGATACGACAAGCACGAACTGCCGTTTTCAAGGGATCACATTCCAATCCCGCTATGATATTCCACAATCTACGAGTTGCTACGGTCGATTAACCGAGAAACGAGGGAAAATATCGGGGCAACGACGAATTGTTCGATCGGATGAATGGGACAGCGATCTACTCCCCGGTGAACGATTTTCCATTGTTCGTCTGTGGAACGACGAGTCCTTCGGCTGAATGAGTTGCGTCAGAGTTCAGCCGATGAAAACGCCGAGAATAAGGTGAATCACAGCGGCGCGAATTGCGCACCATGAACGGGGCCGCGAGATATTGCAATCCCGTGAACCCTTTGCCCCGTGTCAGGTGGAAGTCTCGGTTAATGAGCCGACTTCTTCCAGCAAGCATCGCGAAAACCCTCGGTGAAATCGCGTGGATTGTCGCTAGCCCCCTTCTTCCTTCTTTCCTCGTCTCCTCGAGGAGGGACGATCCGACGACGAAACGGTTAAACGAGACGCGAACACAACGACGATAATGAGAGACTTGTGGCAACACGTGCAAACGCGGTGTGTAGAGAGATGCTATCAGCCACCCTGACGTAACAATGAGAAACTCCTCTGTGCCCGCCACTCGCAACGCTTTCCTTCGTTCGTCGCTCGCAATCGGGGAAATAAATAAATCGGCTTGTCGCACGCTGGACTTGCCATGCTCTTGCATCCTCTTCGTCTCTGCTCAGCGTTTCCCAACCTCGACTACGAGCTAATCTTCTAGGAGAATCGGTTGCGAGGAAGGAAAATCGGATTTTCTGGAAGTGATAGTCGGAAGTGACGATCTTTTTAATACGATGGACTTTCGTACAAAAATATAACAGTCGCTCTAAGACTGTTGAACGAGAGTGTAGATTAAAAGTTTAGCTATTTGCTCCTTGGAGTTCGATCTGCTCGTACTTTCCTTCTATACACGACAAAGTTGCTTTCGATCGAAGTAGAACATACTTAAATACCTAGAGGTCTTATACGAGATTTATGTTCAGAAGCAATAGTCGAAGAAGGTAAATCGACCGAGGGGTTGGGAAACGCTGAACAGAGTCCTAGAAGAATAGATTAACTCGTTGTTCCTGTGGCTGTGCCTACACCTCGCTCGAACAGGAGGAATTCGATGTTCAGTCGAGTCCATATTGTCAGCAAGAGTTTTACACGACCAACGAGAACCTTCCCAGGACAAGGCTGCTCGTCGTGTACCATGCTTCAACCCCTTTTAATTTATCACTTCGCGTCGAACCTTTACGTATCTCTTCCCTTGCTACACATCCGTTAACCTCGATCAATCTACACTTAGGTACAACGTTCGTCTCTCGTGTTTCCGTAAATGAATATTTGACTCTATATATTTTACGTCTCGTCCACGCGAAGCTGTACCATCGATTTTTCTACGTGTAAATCGATTAGAGTCCAATCTCGTTCGTTTGTTTTTTGAGGAAACTGGAGCAGAGGATAGATGAAATGTGAGAGACACTTACCATCGTTATGATACTGTCTCGAGGGCAGAGAGACCGCGGCGGAAGGTGGTTGCAACGGGGCCGTAGGTTGGTTTCCAGCGTTTTGAGGGCCGGACGAGTTCGAGGTGGCGGAACTCGCTGGCGTCGCTGGACTCTTGTGTTCCGGCGTCGCGCCCTGATGAGCACCGCTCTGGTATCCCAAGAAATCACCTAAATCTGGCACGCATACGCTTTCGTACATGTTGCCCGGCACGTTCTCCAGCGAGGCCTTCGCCGCGTCGACATCTGGATGGAAAACGGAACAAATTCCTCAGTTCGCCGCGTTCTGTCCACGGTTTTCTCGCCGACTATAGTCGCCGGTCGTCCCTGCTTCCTCGCGTATTACCGCAGATTTTTTTCTATTACCATTTCGTTCTAGGTTTGTTCTTTTTTTTTTTTTTATTCAAGGAGGAGAGGAACTGGAGGAGTAGAATCGGAGGAGAATCTTGGAAAGATGTTCTTGCGAAAATTTTCAAAGTCTCGAACCTCGGTTAGTCACGATCGGACCGTTTAAAGTGCGAGCTGAATACGACGAGAAAGAATGCTTCTTCGTACAGTATGCTCCGACGGTGCGAAGCGTAAAAACACGTCGACAGCGAAGCTCGATTTTGTAATTTTTATTACCCTTCGCGGTTTCCAGAATTTCTTAAGGTTCTAACTATTTACGATAGTCTTCGTAGTAGCGGAATTTATACAGTTATATAATTATTAGTAGCTTCTTAGTCTTCGTAGCTGCGATAAAGATGCAATAACGACGATAAATATACTTGTTGCTTTCCCATCTGTATGTTGCGGCGAAATTATGCATTTATCTATTACAATAAAATATTATCCGTCGCCTGCCGATACACCGAGCTTTAGAATCGCTAGCTTTACGACAATTGGAGGAATTCTAACGAACGATGGATATACGATGATGTTTACCAGCTTGAGAAAAGCGAAGACCCTGATCTTTACTACGTTCGAGTTCTAGAACGAGTCTAGAATATTTAATTGTTTCTAGTTTTTCGATACGTTAATCTTATTCCACGGTACAGTTATATCGTACACGTTAACACAGTGTTTACACAGCAGCAGAGCAACGCGGGAGGAGTAATTAATGTTTGTGCCCGTAGTTACGCGATTATAGAATTCCATGTCATTAAGCCAATTACAGTGGCGGCGGCGTTAAGCCGCGCGTGCAAACTCGGTCCCTGTTTTTACCATTCCGGCGCAAGAGCACCGCGAACGTAATCGTGATGAACGATCTAGCCGTGCTCCATTATTACGGCCATTATTGCGAAGGAGACGATTGCCATTGGCGTGATTCATCGACGAACCAAACGAACGATTCTGCGTTTCTGACCCGGTGAGCTTGCGCTATAGGAAAATCAATTCCATCCCAGGAAACCACTCCACCTCTTCCCTTTTCCTTTTCACCTAAGTTTCCTAACGACTTTGACAACCGAACGATATATAAAATGGAATTTAACGTTTTCACGAACGAGATAACACGCTACGAGATAACTTGACAATTTTTGTCGCACGTCCGAAATATCTTTCCCTCTGAAGGGAAGAGAAATTTATTTACAACCGATTCATTGGATTGACAACTAAGTGATTGCAGCTTTTGTCACTAGGTGATATTGATAAAATCCGCAGTCACTTAGTTGCCAAGAATATTTACGATTTTGTAGAAACGACACTGTACTACGATTCGACAGATTTAGGTTTCTCGCATAACGACGCAATGCACACGAGCGCGTAATCCTTCGATTAGAAATACGAGATTTGAGTGATCGGTACATAGCAATAAATTCTCTTGCGCGATAGCATTCGATTTTGTAATAAGCCAAATGAAGTTTACGAACTTAACCGATCGCCGTATTTCGCGCGAAATAGCGAAATTATAAAACAGAACTCTACGATCTTAGCGAACATCGGTCGAGTGCATTGTATCATTAAAACTATTAATCCTGCCAAATTACATGGCGTCGCCGCTATGAAATCGCAACGATGTCGCGTCGCATGTAATAATAAACAGAAAAAAGGAAATCTGAGATTGCGCAAAGGGCGACGAAACGACAGAAATTGGCTTGGACGAACGAACGATCGTTTCACCGGTGATTCCGATCGTGTACGCCTGCATCACGAGGATGCAGCTTTTTAGTTTCTACTTTTTTTTTTTTTTACGGCGCACGAGAGAGTTTCCTAATATCCGTTCTCGTTCGCGGAATCAAAGCGATTACCCACGCTATGTCGCGTCTACGCGCGTGCACCAACACACGTTGAATCGCGATTGGCCACGGATCACGAGCGTTCTTCCATTGTTCCATCCGGCGTATGAAAGAACCCTCGATAAAAATATTTCAGCTACGTACGACTATGACAAACTGGTTTACGAATCGACATAAAAAAAAAACTGTTATTTTTATGTAGATATTACGTATATGCTAATTTGCTGTTTTCTTTTATCAGACAGTCGTATCTATTTTACTGTGATGCGCTCTGTTATCTGAAATAATTATCCCGGCTCGTCTCATTATAGTGTTTCTACTCATTGTTTTCTGATAACAGAGATAGCTCGTATCAGTTACAGTCTGTTCCATATTTAGAAACACGATGGTACTCCTGTTATTTTATTATTATCAAATGCAAAGTAAGAAATAAAGTTACAAGGAAATAGATAAAACGTTATTCAAGAAATAGAATATTTATAACATTCGTTTCCTCGTAATAATATCACGGCGCGTCACGATAATCTTCCTCGTGAATGATTTTATTGAATTTCGAATGAACCTGGTCACACATTAATTAGAGTACAGAATAAGAAGAAGAAAAGGAAGCGTGTAACATCGGATAAAAATCGGATATGATGGAGGTTGGTGTTACGTGTGTCTAATCGGGCCATTCGATTGAATCGCGGTTTCCCCGGCTATCAGACGACACGAATAATCGATGAGGAAGTACGGGATTTTACTTAACGGGAATTAAATCATGGGTGAACCTCCGCTTCCTGCCCGGATCATTTCATACCTTGTCCCTCTTAGCCTCCCTTTCTCTTTCTCTATCCGTCTCTCTCGCTCACGCCCTTCCTGTCCACATCGGCGAAGATGTAGAAGTTCCAGGGAAACTTCCTTCCAACGATATACGATACGAACGATCAACGTCCCGCGACTAACCTCTCGACGATAGATCCTCTGCCGAGGAAAGGGAGAAGCCGAAGAAAGTCCTTCTTTACATGCTGTATTTTATCTGATTTCACAATTTCGTAACTTGACATCTTACGATATATAGACGTTCGTTAAATTTCTTTTATCTTTAAGAAACGATATCGTACAGTTTCCTTTCGATTAATAGTTAAACGCATTATTTGATTAACGATCGACGAAGAAACGTATAATCCGCGGCGAACGAAAGATTTGCCAGCTACAGAAATGATCAACCTTTGTATTCTACGGTTAAACGGCGATAGCTCTTGCGCCGAATTAAAAAACACCGCTAGACGAATCTCTGGAATAAATTGAAAATGACGACTACTTGGATGACCGTCTCCGATACTCTTAGAAGGAAGAAGAAAACCATCGTGCGCGCGCGTCTTTTCTGGAAAATGAACAACCAACGTGAACACGAACAAGTATTATACCGGTGCTTCGATTTCCACCCTCTTTCCCGTAAAAATCGCTGGGTCCATTGTAAAGTATCCTGGTCTCTATCTTGTAATCGAAACACGAGTGGGATTACCGGGTTGCATGCGCGCTTTTACACACAGTGATCCATACAGACGTTGGTCGAGTGGTCCGAAAACCACCTAAGTGGCCGAGGCAATGGCACGGGAGCATTCTGGTGGCACAGGATATCCGGAGTGGGAGTTTCTATGGCGCACGGCTCTTTTTTCCTCCATTCTCTCCTTCGTTTCGAATAAAAAGTGCCGATTCAACGCTTCGAAACGCTGAAAACACGAAGCTCACACACAGAAACAGAGAGGATACGCGTCTCGCTTCCACGATCTCGTCATTGTTCCCCCGTCGATCTTTCTCTTTTCCTCTTATTCTTTCTTTCACTCTCACTATTACTCTCTCTCTCTCTCTCTCTCTCCGTATTGCCTCGTGTGTATAGGTACCTGTGCCTGCCGTGACATTGCGATTTTACGGAAATTCGATCTGTGTTTTTGTTCAGCGGACTATAGGATGTCCCCGTGCTAGCCCAAGGAAAATGATTCTTCCGCTCCAACCTGTTTTCCCTTCTCGCGAATCTTCAGAAAATGACCACTCCCTTCTATTTTGGAGAACAGGGGGATATAAGAGGTTCTTCTTTTACTTGGAAGAAGATCCTTTCTATTTCTAGGGGAAGTAGTATGTCGATGATTCAATTTTTTAAATATCTGACGTATAAAGTAAAATCGTATATCCCGCATAAACTGAACGTTTGATCGACAATTAAGTCTGTCTTTCCATTTTGCGAGTCTTCAGAAATTTCGATTGAAAATTCTCTTTTATTTTCTAACGTAAGGGGATACGGAGGTCTGTTATTTCCTTTTTATTTTGTTGTTCGAGAAAGATTCGAGTGTCTTTCTTATTTTCTCGAGAAACTATCTTATCGATGATTGAATTTTTCGACATTTTTATATCGTATTGTAATTAATTAATGGGGAATTCGAAGAGATTTTATAGATGTTAAGGGGGGGTAATTAACGTGTTGACTTCGCACGAGGATAAGGGTAGCAAACGAAGAGAGTATGGAAGGAAGAAGAAGCAGAGAAAGTCACGTACCTTTCTGCAGGATCTCGAGGTGTTCCCATAGGATATCGCCCATGAAGGCCGGAGCACGTGCCAAAAATGATTCCTTGCCCATGGCACAAATCTGTTTCCCCGTCATGTTCTGCCAGGGTTGCATCGCCACACCAGCCAGGGAGAATTCCCCTATGGCCCAGTGCAACCAGTGGGCGACAGCTGCTTCCGACCATTGCCTCGGATCTGAAAAATATTATCACCAGGTTTTTTTAATCTCGCCACACCCACTTACATTCCTTTTCTTGTACTTGAACGTATGAACCGTCGTTCCAATTTTTCTTCTTCCGACATTTAGCGATATCGAATGCTGAACAATTATTTAGAATCCGTTATGCGGCAAAATCAGTGGAAGGAAGTGAAAATAAACGGAGGAACATAAATAAACGAGCAGAACGATGAATGAAAACCTAGGATGCAAACAACAGGCTTAAAATGTAAATAAATAACACAAAAAAGGAGGCTCCAATATAATCAAATGAATTATCAATTTAATCGAAGAAGTAGCGCAGACGCTCTGCTAAATCATGAAAAGTGGCAAGGAATACTAATATATTCAAATAAACTTTTTATATAGTCTTTTTTTTGTAGATGCTAAGTAGTCAGTCGTAAAATCGTTGCAGCACAAATCATGTAACAGCCACATCTATCAAAATCAATGCGTAAAACGTAACAAGAAGTTGCATAAATATTCATGCCGAAAGAGTTCTTAACGTTTGATATTCGCATCGATGACTGAAACAAGAGTGTTACTACGATTTCGATCGATATCTCTTTAGATCGCAAAGAAACAGCAACAATATCTTTTTTTTCCGATAGCCGGTCGTGTAATCGATCGGCAAATAACTTACGCTGCCGTCATAAAATCGCGAAGCGTTTAACACTGATCCACGCTGAATAAAAAGCACCTAACTGTTGAAAATGATTATTCAAATCGGGTCGGTGATTAATGACGATCTCGCTGCTTTCAAACAGGAAACGATCGATATCTATTCTAATGTCTCGACGAGTTCTAACGTTCCCGTCTTTCACGATCGTTCTTTTTTCTTTTCGCGTGTTTCTGACAATAAAAATTCTCGTCGCCACTCGTCCGTACACACACAGTTGAAAAAGGATCACGCTCCGACAAATCGTTTCGTTATCGCGATTTAACGAAGAATAACGCGAGATTGCCGTAAAACTTCGAAAGCTGAATTTACGGAATTTTTAATTACATGGAAATCACAGAGGTGAGAAATCGAAACGAGGAATAACACGATGAAAGCAAATCGATTTTTGATTTTAATGAAGTAACGATGAAAATGGTGACGAGGTGAGAAAGGAAAGATTATAGAGGCGAGACAAAGGCTTTTCGAATACCAGAAAGATATTGCGTCGGGTTGACGACATGATCGGTACTCGGGCCCGGCCATCTTTGGTAGAAGCAATACCGAGAAACATTGGAATGTCCCATTTGAGGTGCGCGCCCATATTTGCACGCGTGTCTTGCATTGTTTCGCGGTATCTTCCCGCGTGAAAGTACAGTTCGGTTCGTAATGCAAACAGAAATTACGACGAACCCATCCTCCCTTAACGCGAGGCCTTCTTCCTTTCTTTCTCTACGCCAAATGACAAAAGAATTCGTCGAAACGTGATCAGACGAAACATCATCGATTTTTGCTCTCGAATATTTCCGAACTTTTTTCATACTTTCACTCTTTGCGGCGACGTTTTGCGTCAATGCAAATGTTTTAAATCTCTCTCTCTCTCTCTTTCTCTCTTTCTCTCTCAGGAACAAAAGAAGAAGAAGGATCTTGAGCAACGCGTCTTCGAATTTAATTCTTTCGAGTGTCGAAGCGTTCGGACGATTTAGAAGTACGTTCCCGAACTTTGCTCTTTTTGGTATTCGAAACTGGTTCGTATATCCTGAGTACTTTGTAAATACGAAAAGTGGAACATATAACATTCTGCGAATAGTAATGGAGACTCTCACGCAGTGAAAATTTTAATGTTGCAATTTATTTATTTACTCGTTTATTCGCCAAGATTAACGTCAGCGTGAAAAAAGCCGTAGCGTACAGAGAACAAAATACAATGATAGAGAGCCGTTGTGGGATAATGGAAATAGTGGGTACATTCGGTCTGAAACCAGCACGTGAACAGAAAGATCGATTGAAAAGTTTCAATTGGAAAATAATAGCCATACAAAAGGTGTTTTAAGAAAGGCTGAAAAGATATCGGAGAAAAATAATTCGGATAAGAGAATATAAAGATTGTGGAATGTTTAACAGTACCTACACCGTTCGCAACGTTTCGTTCCTTTAAAACGGTTTCATAAAAAATTTCATTAACAGAGTCCTCGAATATTCAAGCTAATCGCTTATTTGCAATTAAAAACATCGTGCTCCGTCACGGAAAATGAAATATGACCTCTCATGAATAATAATTGAATCTCACGAAGTGAAACTTTTCTATCGCAATTGACTAGACATTAAATTCGATCCCATCGCCATATAGAATTAACTTAATAAATACTGTTTTTAAACGAGAACAGGCTGGAAGAAGCATCCACTTGTTGCATATTTTCTCGTTTCGTCGATAATCTCTAACCGGCGGCGTCGCGATCTGCATATTTCTCTCTCGGGGCGATGATAATGCACGAAGAATAATCTAATGTAATACAGGACTTTTAACTCCCACCCGTTGTTTCACCTTATCTGCCAGTTGATTACGTCGTAGGAAACTAATTGCCTAGATTAGTCTATTGCGGTATGGTTGATTAAAAGCTGTAACCAATGTACGCGCGGACAAGAGAGAGAGAGAGAGAGACAGAGAGAGAGACAGAGAGAGCCTTCGAGTGAACCGACCCGATACTACGCTCTGTAATCGCTTCTTCTACCCTCGCGCGCAAATATCTTACCTTGGCTCGTTTTTTCCGCATTTATTTACGTCTATTGCTGTATCGTCTAACGCGAAAATTACACCGACGTAATTACGAAACGGGAAAACGGAAGGAAATTCTGTGGAACGATTACCAAGCTCTCGTAGTTGCTTTATTGGAAAGCCGAATCTCAATTTTGCTGCACATCTGACGAAACTTCTCTAATTAACTCTGCTGCGAGCAGGTTAATCTTTTACGTCCGAATCTCGATTTCCTTTCGATCGAGAAAGCCACTCGTTTTTTCTAAAGGTTTCAAGGATACCGTAGTTTAACGTAACGCAACGTAATCACATCGATGCATACCTTTTCCCTGGTTTCTCTGCAACTTGAGAAGTTTCCTAACGATGAAAAAATATTGTCTGATCGAGAGTAATCCGTAGAACGCAGCAGAGGCGAGCTAAACGCAACCTTTCGCTCTTTCGACTCTCGGTCGCTGGCAGCTTCAAGACCGAAGGCAATTTCGATTTCTTCCACGAGGAAACGTTTCGAGACCTTCTCTCGGCCGAACGAAAAGAAAAAAAAAAAGAAAGAAAGGAAAAAGAGGAACCCAAAATAGCTTCACATAACCCGACCATTTAGGAGGTGGTTAAAAGCGAAATAAACGGAGTAATCGTGAAAGAATGAGCGGAATGAGGGTAAAGAGGGTGGAGGAGTGTCACCAAGAGCAAGAGGGAGAGCAGTCTGTTAACAATGCTGACAAGGAATAAGTTCGGCAAACATCGGCGCGATCCTCAAATATCGGCGGTCGCTTTGATCGTGCCGTGCCGTTAGACACTCGCGCGAGCCAAGTCCTCTTTGCTCTCTCTCACCTTTCCTCTATTTATGTATTATCGCCGCGACACCGATCCCCGGGCTCGATCCTCCTCGTCGACTGGTTGGCTGGTTTTCATCGTTTCCACGAATGGAAACGAGGAATATCTTCCATTCATAAAAACGGCGTTACTCTCGCGAGTCACGTAGCGACGCGCGACGACGATCGCGAGATCCGTCCGCGACTCCGCGATTTCGCTATGGCCATCCAAGGACTAAGGCCGACGACGTTCTTCCTTCTATTCTTTTTCGCTCTATCCGATCATTATGCCTCTTTCGTCGGCCACCTTTGATTTCTGATCGCGATTTCTGACGTCCGCTAGTGCACCATGCTAGTGCACACGAGTTTCCCAGGACCGCTGATGGTTACTCGAGATCGGCGTGCAATGAGACCGTGAAAATTCAGGGCTGTACGCGATATTGAAATTGTATCTGTTGCAGAGAGACATAGACAAACACAAGATAAAGAAAGAGGGACAAAAAGAGGTATAGGTTTGGTATTGAAAAGCGTATAGTTCGCTTTTATCATTTTTTAACACGAATTTTATAACACGTTTGAGAGAGTTACTTGATTTTGATGGGTTTTGGCCCGGTCTTTTGTCGGTTCGCTCAAACTATTAGAAAGCGAAACTACTTCCTCGTTGCGATAGCACCTTAAAAATGAAATTAGGTAGAAGCTGGATACTTTCGAATCGGAGGATTACCGTTCCTTTTTTCTTCTTCTTTCTTGCTAGCTCCAGTTACTCCATTATAGTTTGTATTTTAAACCGATTATTATTATGGAAGATATACTATTTTTGCTCGGAGTTTCTTAGAACATTTATATAACCGAAATATTTGCGATTATTATCAAAGAGAGATAGAGACACCGCGAATTGTCGAGAACTCAAGGGTGCCTAAGAGCACCGGTGGAAGCGATCCAGCTAGTCGAGAGATCTTCAAACAGAGATAATCGCCGCAGGTGTCACGCGCAAGCATTTTCGACAATAATCGAGAAATACCGACTGTGATTTCGGTCGGTTGGTTTAGGAGCCGTCTGGCTTGCGCGAGGGCCAAGCAGTTTACCTACGATACGATGTACCTGCCCTCCAGTGATAAATTTCACCGGCCCCTCATGGACAGGTGGACGCCAATCTCATTCTCCTCCTCGTCTCTCTTTTTTCGTTTCCTTTTAATTTCGTTTCGTTTCTATGGATCTGTCTGACTCGACCGATCGAAACGCGTCTCGATGCGAGGTTATGGCAGTTCACACTGAAGATTTTAATTAACCATCTTTAACATCATGTTTCTACTTTTGCATTCTATCTTCTACTAAGATCGTTTATCGCTTTCCATTGAACGCTCCGATGTTAGCACAGCGCTATGTTCGACGTTCCAATTTACATTGCAATTTCAATTTCGTTTCGTACAATGTCTTCTAGAACATTCGTTTCAATTATTGCAGGATATTACTGCAATAATAAATCATTCTAATTATTACGACCGTGTTATTTCAACTCATTTTGGTAACTTTAGTAACGTGATCGTCACTTTTTTTTCTCTTCTCCTTGTTTCTTTATTCTTTCGTCAACTTTCTCTCTCGCTTCGATCGAATTCGTCAAATGACGATATCTGCCAATAAACGAGGAAATAAACGATATTTCTATACTTTGTTGACCATTTCTCTCATCCCTGAGATCGCAGAAATTCTCGACGAGTCAACGAAAAAATATCAACGTATCGAGACTTCGACCTGGGATTCGATCAACGCAGAATATTAACCGCGAGGATCTCGATGATGTTTGTCCTCGATGATCGCGCGAGTTCGAAGATGGCAAGTCTCGGTGGCGAGCAACATTCTGATAGTGTGTCGATGCGGTACGTGACGAGCCGTGTCTCGATTCGACAAAGGGGATACATCCTTGGCGGCGCTTATTATTCATAAGAAAGGCAAATTCTGAATAAATCATAATAACGAATGCGTCAGAGGGTTCTGACGTCCTGCAATGCAATCGCGAATGCACGCCGTGTCTCCGTGCAGCAGGTGCTTCGTCGACGGTTGTAGCACGCACGGTACCAAACTTCGAGAAATGGATCGTGTTAACATCAAACTACTTGCAATTCCACTTACTCGTTAATTGTCTTTCCGATTGATCCAGACAGAAATCACGATAGTGTGAGTAGTACACGCGATATATTGTGTTGTTCGAATGAAGAATACCAACCCCTTCTTCGTTTATGGTTCCACTTCAACTACACGTTACAGATCAATTTATGATTACCAGACTGCGGATGTTTATGCAGGTTCATATTTTTATCGATATGATCGAAAAATTGAAACTTAACTAAAGCGTTGTTTCACCTATTGAATATTCTATCGCGTGCTTTATTTTCGATGTTGTATATATTTTTTTTTATAAAACACAAACAGCTTCAAATTTCTTATGAATGCAGAGAATCCTATTATGGCAATATACAATCGGCTGGTTGCAAGTGGATAAAATTTATACAGGATGGTTGGTAACTGGTGGTACAAGCGGAAAGGGGGTGATTCTACGCGAAAAAACAAGTCGGAAATATAAAATAAAAATTTTTTTTGTAATTTTTCCATCGGGACAAAGATCTACAGTGAGATCCGTTATAACGCACCGCACGCGTACCGAGCGAAAATTCAAAGTCGATTTTCTCGAAAACAAAGCCTCGAACGAAACAATTTTTATTCTATATTTTCGACTTCTTTTTTCGCGTAGAATCACCCCCCTTCCGCTTGTACCACCAGTTACCAACCATCCTGTATAAATTTTATCCACTTGCAACCAGCCGATTATTGCTTGGCGAGACTATCTTTCTATTTAAAATCTTGAACGAATTTGTCGATTGTCCACACAGTTTCTTCGACTTCATCGACTTCTGCACACCATTTTCTACTCTATCCTTCGTTCTTCTCCTCCTATTGCTTGTATACGTGAGTCAGGCAACGTTTTATGCAATAATATCAACTTTTTCTTCAGTTCAACCAGCAATCCAAGAAAGAAGGTTTATGCAGGCTTAGCTAACCCGAGCGATGCATTAGCGTAGAGCTGCAGTACAACGTATTTATACACGTATTTGTCTTACTACTGTCTCACAGCGATTGTATCACCCCGACGCTTGTTTTCCTCTTACTATATATCACCTTTCTTGTGAAAGGGATCTTTCTCGTTTAATTAATAAATTAAATTTAATTAAAAATCCGCAGTCTAACGATCGCTAATTTTTAATGTAAAGAATTGTAATTAATGCCGGGGTACAAACGAAACTTTGTTAGAAATATTACGTCTAATTATAAATACGACCATAATTCATACTACGATTCATAATTCATAGTGTGATGTGATAGTGCGAGACACGGCAAGCGGTTAAACAAAAAGAAGACTTTGGTATCATACCGATATAATTACTCTTACATACCGATATAATTACTCTTAATGTCTAATATAAAACGAAGGAAATGTCTTCTAGAATAATAAAATTCTCGTTTCTCCCTCTGACCTTGTGTTTCAAAATCTTCAAACTCCAAATTCTCGTTCTCTTCATTTTGGATATTGTACGTATCGATATAATCTCCATGAAGAAGACTGATTGCAAATTGCCTAGTAGATATACGAAAACAAAAATATATTGTTTTTAACAGGAATAGCGTGCATTTTTGCACCTTTAAACTTTGTATAAATCAAATAAAACACAATAAATTTTCAATCCAAAGAATCGAAATGAAAGCTGCAGCTCGAACGAAGCTTCGTTATAAATACAAATTGCCTGAGTTGGATTGCAAGCATAATTCATATTATGACTGTGATACGATACTATGAGGCAAGGCAAGGGATTATGTAGAAAACCTTGATAACATATTGCAATTTATCCTACATCGTTGTCTAACACAAAACGAAAGGAGATATTTCCTGAAAGAATAAAATTCTCGTTTCACTCGTTTCCCAAACTCCAAATCCTCTTGTGCTTTAATTTGAATATTTTATATACTCGAATGAATAAAACTAACTTCCAGTGTAAATAAGCAGTTGAAAATAAAGCTGCAGTTCGAACGAGACTTTGTTACAAATACAAACTGCCTTTAAGTTAAGTTGAAACCATAATCCGTACCGCAAGTCCTAACATCGTAAGGGACTTGTACTTCAATCCGACTCGTATCCGCTTAAATGAAAAACCGTGATACCATGGCGCTATAATTTAACCTACGTCAATCTCTACCATAAAAGAGCTATCTCCCAAAAGAATAAAATCCTCCTTTGATCTCCGCTCCAAAATTTCCAAACTCCAAATCCTCTTACTCCCTTAAATCATCATCAGCCTACAGCCAAACTGTGACAAACGCCAGAGCAAAGACAATGGACGTCGAGAAGAAGATCGATAGTACAGAAGAGTAAAGAACAAAGAAACGAGAAAGGAAGGATCAAAAGACGATATTATAGAGAAAACTAGAAGAAAAAGGTGGCAAAAAAGAAGGAAGAAGAAAGGACTAGAGAATCAGCGCGACTGCGGACCGCTGTAAAGTGGAACGGCGCGAGGTTGCTCGTTAGGTTCACGGAGGTCAGACTGTAGGTGATCTGGCCGGAGGGTACGAACCCGGGGCATGTAGACCGGAAGTAACGTCACACCCGCGTGGCTCTGAATGCGCATACCGGATGTGTGGCATCGGCTCCCCATCAGAACCATCAACATCACATTCACAATTCCTGCACATCGCCGCCTCGTCGCACATCACATCACATCGCGTATATACTCGCGCGTCTCCGTGCACGCACGCACGCACTCACTCACTCGCTTACTCACGCACGCATGCACGCACGCACGCACGTACCATTGCACGCAGCAAGGTTTTTCCCGGTTTCGAAAGGGCACACACGCAGACCATACTCCGATTTTTCGACAAATTTCTCTCGTTCGCGGTCGACTGTGACGCGTTGTGCAACCAAACGAGAAGCTCGTTCGAGTATCGTGCGCTGAAGTTTCCAGAGGTTTTCGTTCTGCGGAATAATCGTTTCGAGTTGTCGCGTTTTGCTTCTGTTCTTTAGGCGTGCAGGATATTTTAGAGCGGATTTCTTTTTCGGAACTGCTGAGAGCAATGCTCTTGGTCTCGAAGAGTGAGACGAACAAAGTATCGAGGTTTTCAGTTTCAGAAGTGACTGGCATAACGTACGTGTTAGTACAATTTTTGGAGAACGAGAGCGCGTAAATAAGACAGATTTTCCTACGGGGTTGTTGGATCGACTTGGAGCTGAAGAGTAGATAGACGCAGAGAGTAGATAAAGTTTGGAAATTTTGAAATTTTCGAAGGATAGCGAGGTCATAGAGAGTGGAACAGGATATACATTTTAGCTGGAGAACGCGGAATGTTAAAAGATGTTAAGACGAATGTTAAAGAATGTCGTAGTTAAAAGGAATGATATGTATCGAGGAATATTACGTCGATTAAAACCTCGATTGATCATACTTATTAGAATAGCAACCGGGAAAAAACGCAAATGCCACAAACCGTTGCAAAAACGCTGGGGCTTGATTAATCAGCATCTGCTTCTGACTCTCGATTCTCAATAAATGCATTTTCCGAGGATATCTTAATCAGGATCAATAAATGTATCCAGTCTTGATCAACATTTATGCTATACCGAGCTGATTAACGTCTTAACGATACATTCAAGGCGTCTCTAATACCTTCTTAATGAGATTAGATTCAAGAACTTCGATCTCATCCAACACACTGAAACATTCTATCTTTCAATATCGATCCACGAGATTCTCGACGAGAAAAAAAGAAAAAAAGAAAAAGGGACATTCTGTGACATAGAAGATAAATGTCTCTATTAGCAAAAAAAAAAAAAAAAATTCTTTGAGATACGAGATAAAAGAAGAAAAAAATAGATCATATACATTTGCAGGCTATAGTTCACATCGGTATAGAAAAAGCAATCGAACAAACACGTACACAGAGATCGGATGAAAACGTCAAAGCTCGCGAATAGGATCACGAGTATCGCGGCAATGATCCTGTAATTAGAAGTCGTTGAGAAACCTGTACGCCATGGAACGTGCATAAGGAGGAAGGGAAAAGAGGCGAAGTAAGAAAGAAAGAAAGAAAGAAAGACGAAAGAACGTTTTCCACGAGGTTGGAATACGAGTATACACGGTATTAAGAGAAGAAGAAGAAGAAGAAGAAGAAGAAGAAGGAAAAAGGCGGCACTCACCTTTGGTTATGTTGAGGCGGACTCGTTCCTTCTCCCAGGAGGCGAAAGAGGCCTCCAGGGCCTCGGTCATCTTCTTGTTGGTCCCAGGTGTTAACGGCGGCACTTGTGCCGGTATATCTGCAACGTGAGGATACGCTCAAATTAAGCGGCCGCGTGTACCACAATACATTTGATATGGTAATAATATACTTAATAATATACTTAATATACTCAACTGGATAATATACTTAACTGGAAATTTGTGCGAGGGCTAACGAAAAGAAAACATAGTATTTTTTGAATTTAGATTTTCCAAATTTCTATGGTGGAGAAGTCGACATTTATCGAATACGGGGCTGTTTACGTTTGAAAATATCACAACCTGGACGTTGGGGTTCCCAGTGATTCAGCAATCTCACACAACTAAAATTCCTCGTTCGAATCTAAATTCCCTCTGCGCTACGGTACATAATAAACAAACTCTACAAAACCAGAATTACCCCACAATTACACACGCAATTTTAAAATCTCCCACATTAATTGTGCCGGTGATTATGAAAGTGTGCTAAATCAAGAATCTAAAACAGATGAGTTTATCGGTTATCTCGCTTTGCTTCTACTTACGTTACGATAATCTGACATCATCTTTGCGAAGTAAATAATAGAAATCGAAGCGTTGCATCGAGTTGATTATTGCGTCGTTCAACAAAATTCGCTTTGTCCGTCAAACGCGAAACGTTAAATATCTTTCTGAATCACCGGCGAAACTATGACCAACGATCCCAATTTCTCCGACACCTATACAGCTCCGAGACCTACCCTAAACCATCTCCTTCCTAATGAAATACCTTGCCATTCTCAAAGCTCTCTCAACATCCGTACACATTATACGTATACGTATACTTCCAACCGAGCACAAACATTGTCTATGAAAATTATCGGTAGGTGGTAAACTGCGTGTTTGTTGGAAAAGGGGAGACAGGTAGAGAGGCAGACAGACTCGGAACAGTCGGGATCGGTGGATGTGTGAGAAGCCAGGTTAATGGTACTTCTCACAAAGCGGCGTGCACGCGGTCGCGCGCGCGTCAGCGTGCAGAAGAGAGAGCCGGAGGAGCGTGTAGACGGAGGAGCGTCAGGTGTCGCGGCGGCGGCGGCGGCAGGAGCAGCGAAAGCGAACAGAGGCGAGGGGGGCATGCACACTACATCCTAGATAGCATCGTCGTAAAGAGGGGTGCAACTGGCGGGCAGGTGCAGGTGCATCGTCGTTGTAGGTACGCTTGCTCTATGCCGTGCACAACGCGGCGTACGCCTTATGGCGCGATCGCTCAATGCTCTCCTCTCCGCGATTCTTTGTCTACCATCTATACGATATACAATATATATGAGTAGACTTTGAAAGTTCTTCGGGGTTTAAGATTTCCTTAAACTATCTGTAGCGTACATCGAGTTCCTGATGGTTTCGTTGAAAGTTTGACGGTACGTTATTTTCACGTATGCATCACCTATGTGGCATTTAATTTTTTTTTTAGGGAACCTAGCTCTATCGAGATGGAAATATTCGTTTTTGAAGTTGAAAGTTTTGTATGATTGTCGAGTCGCTGCAAAAATGACTTTTTAATTAATCGCGGAGAAGCCGTTACTACGAAATTGATAGAAAAAGTAATACGTAAAATGGTTAGAAGAATCTTTTTCTTTCTTTTTTTTTTTTTTCTTTAAGGAAATTTAGCCTTCGTCTCGTCGTTTTTGGATAAAAGTACGTGCGTACTGCGAAGTATGCGATATCGGTCATTTCTGCGCTCAAAGTGCCGTATATTATAACGCGAAGTTGCGCCGCTCTGCCCATTTCTGAATTGTTTGTCAGTGCGCGCGCGTAGAAAGTACAGACAGCCAAGAAATTCCTTCCTACACGGAGAATCTCGGACATGCGCGAAGAATATGATTTTCGAGTCTCGGCGTGCTTTGATCTCGAAGAATATTATCGCGCCACAAATATCTTAAGATGTTCTTTGATTTCGTTTCATACGTTATTCCAGTTTGTCAGGCGATACTGTTTTCTGTCTGGCATTTACGTACGAGCACGCATTTGAAATTCCTGAGGGGATGGTTAAGGATTGAATTTTGTTTCGTTATCTGATGTTCCTTGTCTTTTCATTACGGGCTACCTTATCGTAGGTTAGACTGGAGTTTTGGGGTGAATTTGTGAACGATTCGAGGCTAGAAATTAGCCTAGAACGTTTCGATGGCCAGGCAATACTTAATAGCTCTGCAGATTATGCTTCTACGAAATGTCTTTAACTGTTACAATTTCGTTCGAGAAAAAATCCATCGTTTTGGAAAGTCTATATCAGAAGGAAGCTGAAGACCTGCGGCCATACATGACCAGACCACTGGCTTTATTTTCACACAAGCCACCGTTCTATCTTATCAAACTTGCTTCGTTACGTTTCTTCCGTTTTCGATAAACGCAAATTATCCGTCAGGCTCGAACTTTATTCTCTTCGCTTCTACGAAACGAAGCTTTAAAACGAAACCTGTTCTCAAAACAGTAAATCGAACGATTTATGATTTATCAAGATTTACGAAGAAGGAAGAAAGAAAGGAGGAGGAGGAGGAGGAGGAGGGAGAAGAAGAAGAAGAAGAAGGAAAAGACGAAAAAGAAAAGGAACAAGGAGACGAAGAAACAGGAGAACGCGTTCTAGACGAAAGAAACTTAGGATGGCGCGGTGCGATAAAAATCGTGTTTCCTTGGGGAACGCGGGGATATCTGCACAGCTGGATTTGCATGGCTATAAGCTCTTCCAACGGCGTACCGCCGAAAGTCCATTAAGTATGTATGGCGTGCACGCACGGTAAGTCTCCCGTAACCCATAAGCACCTTTGTCTCAACGCGCACAGGCACACGCGGCCGCGTGCGTGTGCGTACAGCCACTCACGAACACGTGCGAGCCAACAAATTTGCATGCCGGCGCGCTGGTTACAAACGTACAAAGTATCGACGTTGTTCGTGGTCGTTTCGAGCCAGCTATTCGCTAGAGAGCTCTCCCGATCGTCCGACGTATCCTTAAATGGCTTTGGCGAATTTGACACGCGATAGAAATAATAAATCACGAATATCGTTAATCCTTCCCTGTAAAACGGACTTATATCGTAGAATCGATGTATAATTTGTAAAAGAAGGGAACGTTTTTCAAAATTTATTCATCCTCCGATACGTAAAATTTGAGAAGATATTTAAGAGATGTACGAACGTCGAGCTAAGAAGTTAAGAAATCGAAATGTTTTACAAGATGACAAACGGATCGATCTATTTGCGTAAAATGCTAGACTTAGAGTTCACGATAAAGTCAGAGTCATGAATTACTCACGATTCTGTTACCTATCAATTTCTGACCGTCATTCGTATCACGTGTACAGCGATACGCTATTTACGATCGTACGTTCCGATATGAAAATTAAGAAATTTCCAGAAAACGTGGTCGATCAGCTCGACTTCCAAGCGAATACGACTATTAGCCTCGGACCAAACTGAAAAATTACGACGAATTACGATCTCCTTGTTTAAGAAGCAAATAAAATGTTGGCCGTAAAGAATTTTCAAAACCTTCTTCTACAGATAATCCTAAACGAATTCGTTGAAAAATCGGCACAGCCTTGTCGCGAAACACCATATCCAACAGAGGGAGCGATGGCACGGGTGCAAAGTGTATCAGCCACGATACGGAATTATTCATCGTGACGAGGGAACGTACGCGCCGTGGAACGTGTAATCGTCAGGAGGAGAAGGATTGTCCGGTTGTAAGGATCGAGAGAACGGAGAACGCCGGCACGGCTGCCGGAGAAGTCGAATTGAAAACCCACGTGCCACGGCGCAACGCTTGCCCCGTGGTTGGAATATCAATCGGACCACATTTGCAGGAACGACGCCTGTGGCTGGCTCGTTGCGAATGCCGTGTATGATCGAGCACGACGAGCTCTGCCAGTAAATGCCCGATGCCCCCTCGGATTCCGTGGATCGCGATGGAGTCGATCCTGAGGCCTCGCAGATTTATCTCCTGTCAGTACCAAGCGAATCGAAGACCTCCGTGATCGAAGAATTTTAGGTCGAATTCGTACCTTCTACAAATTTCTCCATCGAATATTTGCTTCACGCGAATCGCGTATTCGTCGTGAGAATGTTTAAACAGCGAGGTCGCCTTTCTAAAAATTTGCCTCAGTTTCGTGTGTTCCGAAAGCCGAATTTACGCTGTTGCGATTTGGTTTCATACGCCGATGAAACGAAGCAGTGGTGAATTTCGGTTAACGTTTGCTTCAGTTTGAGGGATTACACATTTTCTGGATCTGTGTGCAGCTTTTAGGGAGAAAGATTCGAAATTTGGCTTTTGCTTGGATGGGAAATATAGGAATAGGGGGATTTCTTTTTATGAGAAAATTGGAGGTTCGTTGTGTCCAGCGGTTTTTATTTGTAGAGGATCGTTTAGTCTGTGTAGAGGATGGTTGGTTTGTTCGAAAAACGAGATAACTCGCTGTTGAAAACCGTCAAGTATATTTAAAATGATAAATTAATACAGACAATAATCGCTCGTACTAACAGATTCGCCAAAGATAATGTAAATCGCTAATTAGATCGCTGATAACACGTTCATAACTAATAGATACTGAACTCCTTACGATCGTGTCCGTTTATTTATACTGGTCGGGGGAGAGCCGGAAAATTCAAATTCGTCTACGTTTGATGGATGCACATAACGGCGATATCGTTTTGCCTGGAGTTCATTTATTACTACATTATGAGTATTCTAACGATACTCCAAGGCAAAACATCAACATGATTTGAACATACATATGTACCGCTACATATTTATTGAAATTCATTTGAAATTTCACTTTTTTTATGGAATCCACTCGCTACATGTAAGTGGAAATAAAGATGAAGTTAGTAGACGAATTCGTAAATATACAGGGTGGTTGGTGACTGGTGGTACAAGCGGAAAGGGGGTGATTCTACGCGAAAAAAGAAGTCGAAAATATAAAACAAAAATCTTTTCTTTTTTTTTTAACGTTTCCATCGAGACAACAATCTACAGTGAGACGATTCCGTTATAACGAGACGCGATAAAGTGAAAGAAAATTCAAAGTCG